AACACACACACTTATGTTTTGTAGCATTTATACATCTACTTACTTGATTTTAGAGGCATGATCAGTGTTAGATATCTAAATGCTACATAAAATGCTTCTAATTTGTTGTGTTGGGAAAGCTGTCATGGCAGTTATCTACAGTCACAGAGAGGAAGTCTCTTGCCGAGTATCAGGACACTGATGTCTAAACATACTTCCTTTTTTTGCAATGCCTCTTGCTGCTGTATTTTCTAATTCTGCCTCCTTTTTTCTTGTATGTTTTAAAATAAGCCCCTGTTGAAAATCTTCTGATTTATGCTGCCACATCTCATGGGTCAGACCTTGTTTCTCACCTTCTCTACTCAAATGCTGGCCCATATTTCTGAGCAATTTGACAAATGGCTTTGTCTAAGGACAGAATTTGCACTCTTCAAATTAATGTGCACAAAAGGTATTTCAGGAAATCAGGATACAGCCTTTATGGTCTTCGCACACAAGGAATTTCCTCTTCTAAAAGCCAGAATAAAACCAACTGATAACAAAGTGAGATGACACCAGTAAGAGAAAATCTGTAATCAGTTTTCCTGGAAGCCTGATTCAAGAAAATTTCTCAGCTAATACACATTCCCTGAAGTTATGATTCCATCCAGACTGCCCCAGAGCCCCCAAACCCCCCCAATTTACAAAGTACAGAAGCCACAAGCCAAAATATTGCCCTAAAGAATACCTCACTTTATCCCATTGACTGTGTGATTTCAGATATATCATCTTTTCTTCTACCAATAACAAATGCCAGGAGACGTGAATTTCATAAATATCACAATACAAAGGAATACACTTTCTTAATAAATAATGCACACACTTCCATCCTTCCAGAATCACCAGTTAACACTGCCTAAAGCAGACAAAAACCCTGTCATTTATGAAAATATATGTAATACAAATAAACACAGGTGATTTGTACTAACTGTCTTTTCAGCAGAGAAAAATTAAGCAGATCCAAGCATGAGAAAATTTGCTGATAACACATTACCCAGACTAGGAATACTTTTCTGTTAATTTGTGGAAGGTCAAACCAGACTCCAGACAACATCCAATGAGAAACATATTAACTGACCCACTTCTGCTGCGGCTGTTGCCAAAATCAGTTTGACAAAGAAGGCAAATAAGACAGCTGTGTCCAACTCTCCTTCAAGCTTGACTAAACAACTCACCCACTGAATCCTGCAAGAGAAACTGGAAAACAGGCTCTCTGGTTGTTTCCCTGTAAACAGCAATCTCTCCATCTGCCCTCTTTTTAATTGGCCCCGCTCTGTTTTCTATCATGCCTCTTGTCCCTTCATTTGAGACCAACGCTGAGAGCTGAATTATACCATTGTTCTGAAGAAGCTACTTTCCCATAGCTAAATGGTTAAAAACGTTCCCAAGGCCTCTTTAGTTCCTGTTTTCCACCAGTTACACATTAGGGAAAGTGTGGCTGAGCCCCACTGCCTCTGGAGAAGAGCATCCCAGCCACATCAACGGCACAAGACAATACTAGGTTGCTGCTGATCAGTAACTATTCTTCTGTTTGAAGGTGTGGGTTTAACCTTCCTTTTTCAGATCCCTATTATTTTCAAGAGTCCTTCAGAGCCTTCAGAAAGCTGCTAACAACTGAGCTGCTTCTTGGTTATCTTGTGCAGCCTTCTTAAAGCAGGATTGTTAGCAGTTTGTGGACCACTGACATTTTAAGTGCTGGAGTTGCCATTTGAGCCTGTCACAGCTTGTGCTGTGATCACAGATCAGCACACATCATCCCACAGCCTGGCTGCCTTCAGTTAAAAATGCCACCACACTTAATGGCTTTTGCATGCATCAGGACCTGACCTTACAGCATTTGAGGCAGTTACAGCTGATGATAGCTCTGCTAACCTGACAAATCCCCCATCTTCAGGACCAAATCAAATATGCAACTTACAGTCCTCTAAACCAGTAACTTCCCAACTAATCATATTTTAGATTTATTAGAGAATAATTCCAGGACCTCCTGTACTTTTCCTGCATTACTGTAATTTTAGATTATTAAATTTAAATTGTTAAGAGTTCCAAGAGTCTGTGACACTCCTAAAACGACATCAGGAACCTCAGTCAATTATTTAATACAAGAAATACTCATCAACATTTTCTCTCATAAGACAATTATCTTCAGTAATTGCATATGCTCTCCAATATATTCGCACTGAGCTTGCATAATGGGTAAAACATTGGTGATGGGTCATTGAGTTTTACTATTAAACTCTTCGAGGTCTGATTTATTAGAAATTGTTTGCTGCATTTTGCTTTGGAAAAGCCATTACTGCTAAACAGACAATGATCTCTCACTGCCCAGTGCTGGTTTGTGAAATCCATATTCTTCAACCATCACACTTATGCAAAACAGCTGCTGGAGCTGATAAAGAACCCAAAAAGGATAAAGCATGTACAGTGCCTTCGTTGCAATTCTTCCAGAAAGCATTAAGCCCAAGCAAGATGAAACGTGCAGAATAGAAATTGACTATTTTACAAGTGAACCTGAAGTTGAGCTGCACATACTTAACCTTTATTAAACCGTAGGTTGTAACAACAAATAGCAGTTCAAAGATAAAACTCCATGATGCATATGCTTGTGTGAGTCATCTTTGGCTCTTATCCTGAAAAAGCATATTTGTGTTTAACTCAGAGCACTATAAGTAGTCCCACTGAGGTCAATGGAAGTACTGATAGTACTTAAAATCACACACATTTATAAGGCCCTGCAAAACTGGGGCCCAAGAGGTTGCCAGCTATATGGCTTTACATTTACTGCTAATAACATCACTCCATACCTGGAGAAAAGTGAAGCAATAAACCCGGACACACCTGACAGACCACAGACTGCTCTAATCAACTGCCACTTCTGTCTCACAGCATGGAAACAAATGTATTTTAGCATTCCCAACTGGTAATAACACACACTAAATAGATGGAAATGGATCACTCTGCACCGAATGCACCTTCCTACTCGCAGTGTGACTGTGACCACCCTCTGATGCTCTTTCAAATCCGGGAGCTGCATCTGGCAGAGCCCTTAAGTCATTAACTCCTGGGAAGTTAATAGAAGCAGATGCATGGCCTTGGCCAAAGCCATTATACTGGTGTTCCCAGTGTAGCAGAGGCTGCATGGAGGGTTCACCTTCTGCCAGCACCAGTGAAGGCTCCTCGGGTGAGCGGCTGCACCGGCAGCCCAAACCCAAACAGTTTTGGGAGAAAACCTACAAGAGACCAGAGCAGACCTCGCTGCTGAGTGGCGTTTGCCACGTACACAGTCTTTGCCTGCCTGACACAGGCCACGGGTAGCTCACGAAGGGCACGGGACCCGCTGCACACGAAAACACAGTTACTGTCGGCAGTCAGCTAAACACCATCAGGTACAGAACTCCACAGAACCACCACCCTGTCCCCAGAGACCCTGCTCTCGCTCTGGTCAACCCCCGCTCAAGCCGGGCTGCTCCAGGCTGCGGAGAACACGCCACACATCCACTCTGTAGCCGAGGGACCCCGCCGGCCTCATGTCACCCCAAAGGCACCCCCACCCTCCGGCAGCCAAAACAGCGAGGCCGGACCCAGGTTCTCCCTCCGCAACGAGGTGGGGCTGAGCTTCCCCCGAGTCCGGCCTGGCCGCGGCTCCCACCCGCCGCTCACCTCCGCCACCGCCGTCCCACCGCCCGGATGTGCTTCCCCGCGCACCCTTCCGGGCTAGGCCGCACTTCCGCGGGGTGCCGCTCTGTGCCTCGGCTCGATGGTTACGGTCCGCCCGGCGGGGGAGCGAGGAGCTGTCCCGGCCCGGTGGGTGAGGAGGGTGGAAGCTGGGCCGCGGGTACAAAGGGCTCGAAGGGGCCCTCTGTGGGACCGGGGAGTCCCAAAGTGAGGAGGGTTTGGGGCATATGAGGGTCCTCCGTGGAGTAGTCGGTGCCAATAGGGAGGTTTGTGGGCAGCTGGGGGGCCCTTATGGGGCAGGAGTTCCATGCCAGGGGCAGTTAGGGAATGAGGGGTCCGTTGTGAGCTAGGCAGCCCCATGTGGGGGATGTGGGATCCTGGGGAGAAGGGGAGGGAGGGAGGCCCCGAGGGCTGGGTAGCTCAGGGGGTGCCAGGGGAGCTGCAGCGTGCGGGGTCCCACTAACTACTATGGGGAGCCATGTGGAAATGGGATGGGGGTCCCCGAGTCACCCCGAGCTGTCCTCTTCGTTCACTTGAAGCCAGGAGAACCCGTGAACGGGAGTAGCTGCCCTGATTACATCCGTGGCCAGCTCCGAGGGGACGCAGCTTCATGCCGGCAGTGATGCTGACATCTGTGGGGTGCCCAGTGTGACCCTGCCTGTCCCTGCCTGCTGTTGTTGCCCTCAAGTTACTGCCCTGGAGCTGGTGCGGTGCTGCCAGCGAGGCCGGGAGGAGAGCAGAGAGAAACCTCTGCCCCCGTGAGCAGGCCGCGACGTGGCAGCGCTGTTCATGGGCCACCGTCATCCGCTGTGTGCAGTGTCAGTGCCGGCTGAGCGTGTTTCAGGTACTGGGTGGTGGTAACACCCTGGCGAACACCCTCAGCCCCAAATATAGGAGCAAACTGGTCGCTGCCTCCCTCCCTGTCTGGCTCTCTGACAACTGTCCCCATTTTAATGGAGGCCCCATCAAAGCAGCCTTCCCAATTCGTTTGTTTTCACTGTTTTTTCATGAAGCAAGTCATGTATTGCCTGAGGACCTCTTGTACCTTTCATTTGCTTTTCAGAGTTAACAACCTGTTTTTTTTCTTGTGGAGAGGGTGTGTCACTTAGATAAAGCAGAGTGGTTCTGTGGGACTTTAAACTTACAAGTGTGATGTTTTCTTCCAGTCAGATGTAACTTGGTGTACACATTTGGTTAAAAACGTTAATCTGTTCACGCAGGTACGTGTGGCAGCATGGAGGGCTTTCTGTCTTAGTTGTGTTTGTTTAAAACACAAATGTGATGCTTTTGTACCAAAGTGTACAAGGGAGTGACTGTTTTATCTGCTTTGCTTTCTATGGGTGCTCGTAGTCATGTCTGAGAAAGATAGTGCTGAAGATCTGAAAGAAGAAACCTCTAATGAAGATGGAAATGAACAGAAAGCAGAGGACCTTGGCAGCACTGAGAGCAATCAAGAGAAAGAGCAAGAGATCGAGCCTGTGCCTATGACTCGGAAAAGACCTGAACCCAAACCCCCAAGTCAGCCTGCTGCCACAGAGAAGCCTGCAGCTGAAACCCTCAAGGTATGTTCCTGTGCTAGCTCTGAATAGCGTGACTTCGTGTTTCATGGCTTTGAGTACAAAAGAACGCTGAGCATAAGGCCCGCTCCTCTTCTGAAAATTCACGTTGATGTTTATGTGAAAGGAAAAAGCTGCACAAAAGTGACACATCACAGACTGCTTGTGTTCCTCTCCTCACCGTAATACCTACATCACTCTCCTCTTCTTCGTTAAAGGCCTCCGATTCTTCAGCTGCAGTTCAGACAGGATGGGGTTACTGGGGAAGCTGGGGGAAATCTCTTCTGGCAACTGCATCTGCTACTGTAGCTACTGTAGGTAAGGCTCTTTCTGCTATTCGATATATATATTAACCATTCTTCATGTCTCAGCTAATGCTTTTGAGCTTGTTTCTAGAGAAGGGGATTTCTGTCATAGCAGCAGTTATTGGAAAAATGTCAAGGGAATTGTTCAAGTAATGGAGAAAACTTGTAGCAAAAGGTACAACGAGATTAAGGAGATTGTGCATAGCCAAAATTACTTTCAAGCTTTTAAGGTGTTTGCATCATTTTCAGCTGGTATTTTAAACTGCTCTTCAGCCAGTATTTGCAACTTGATTTAAAAGCTGACATGAAACCTGAGTTCATTACATTGGTAAGCAAGCTGGGTAGGAGTGGGTTTCAGTGCTGGGAGAACTGTCTTAAACATGAGGAATACAGAATAATAAAATCCAATATACAGCCCTAATCCTGTTTCTGGTTTGATTTCTGTTGTATGGTTAAAGTAATACTAATGTCTTCTCTAGGTCAAGGTATTTCAAATGTCATAGAAAAAGCAGAAACAACCCTTGGGATCCCCAGTCCAAGTGAAATCTCTTCAGAAACTAGAGATGCTGCTACAGGAGGTCAGTTTTACTTTGTAAGAACGACACTGAAACACTTCCCATAACATAATCAGCCCCAAAATGACATCACCTTCCTCTTCATCTTGCATGTTGAGGTAGATATCTCAGTGCTAAAATAATACTCTAATACTTCTGTTAGCTCTGAAAAGAAGGTAGGAAAATAATGCCACTTCTAGCTCTGCTTCTGGCTGACACTTGGTGTTTGATTATTTTCTCCATTCTGCAGCTGACAGGATTTTTTTGGGGGAGCAAGGAATTTAATTTTCTGCCTTCTAATGCAGGAAGCGAAAATCCTGGTGCTAGCAGCACAGATGCAGTTGGGGATGACAGTTCCTTTCCTATTGCTGGAGCTCTTGAAGTATTATCAACCATCTCTACTGCTGTCCAAAGCACAGTGAGTGAGTTGGGAATGCAGGGAAAATGGGTGTAAGAGAGCGTTGGGATTTTTGTCTTTCATCTGAAACATCATAAGAGAATGGTTTTACTTCTTATTTTTTGTGGGATGAATGGTGAGAAACTGTTCCAGCCTTCAGACAAATTTTATCCTGTGCCTTGCTTCTAACTGGTGTTTGATGTGTAAGTTGTCCTGAATTTTGATAGGATTAAATGTTGACTCATAAGAAAAAAACCTAACAGTGGACAGTGTGGGGTGTGCATTCCTGTGCGTGTCACCTCTGTACCCTGTTATCTCTGCTCGCGTCCTTTAGAGTATTCAGGTAAAATGCAGGGTCAGACTCATTTCTGGAATATTTCCACTGATTTCCACAGAGCTGTCTAGAGATGAAATCCATTCTCCTCTTCAAAACTCCTGTGAAACTAGCCCAAATTGCTTGGAAATCATCTTGCTCCTGTGACCATGAGAAATACACTTCAAAGGAACCCATTACCCTTAGAAACTGTGCTTTTGTGATCTGTTGTCTTGTCAATTTGCCCATGAATCTGAAAGAGCTGCAGACAGAAAGCTTTCTTCTGCTTTTAAGGCTTGAACAAGAGTTAACAACCAAAACCCACAGATCTAGTGTTTTCTGATTGGAAGGATGAGAACTAAATACTTCAGTGTGCTTAAGACCAGCTTATTCACAAAAGTGTATTTCCCATCAGATTGCTGCAGCTGTCTGACTGCTGTATTAAACTGTAGGATGATAGTGTGTTGTGGCTCTTTTCATGTCCTGCTGCTTTCTTTGTGGCAATTAGGGTTGAATTTTAGGGTGACAAAGATCAATTTGGATTTTATGTGAGTGTCCAGCATGATACTGCTGATATAAATCCTCTAGTTTGTTTCCTTCAGTTGTATAGTTTTCTGTGAATTTTATGTGCTGCCTATATCCAAATCTGATTTCTAGGGAAAAAGTGTTATTAGTGGAGGTCTGGATGCCTTGGAATTCATTGGGAAAAAGACAATGGATGTAATAGCTGAGGGAGATCCTGGATTCAAAAAAACAAAGGGCCTAATGAACAGAAACTCCACGTTATCTCAGGTATGGCAGTTCCATATCAGCAGCTCATTGGTTTCTCCATTCTTTTACAGTCCCATCACTATGCAACCTTTTTTACTATTGAGCCAAAACCCTTCTCCTCCCCTGCTCTGTATCTTCTGGCACTGACCTGAGTACTCTGCTTTTATTTTTCAGGTCTTACGAGAGGCAAAGGAGAAAGAAGAGCAGCAGACAGCTACTGAGGTTACCATGGCTACGGAGAAGAAAGCCCATTATGGGTTACTGTTTGATGAGTTTCAGGGTCTTTCTCATCTGGAGGCCTTAGAGATGCTTTCCAGAGAGAGTGAATCAAAGGTAATGGCCTTGAGCAATTTGCCTTCTATTTTGAAGTCAGCTGAGCAGGGAAAAAAAAGACCAGAAATATATGGATATACATGTAAAACTGAGTGCTCAGAACTTGCTATAAAGTGATGGATTACACAACTTCACTCTGACCTCTGCATTATGATCTGGTGTTTACCTTGGGAGCGTTATGTCCTGTCCTCAGCCCCTAAATCCATTTTCTTTATGCAGCTACCCTCAGTTCTTGCATGTCTTCAACAACATTTCACAAATTAGTCTTTCCTCATAGTCACTTCTTTGCTACCTTGGTCTGGAGAAAAGGAGAGTGTTTGGAAGCACAGCAGAGATTGCCCATTCTGTCTTGGGGGAGGAAGGAGGGCAGACCAGCATGCGATTTCAAAAGTCATCATTTTTTTAAATGAAAAATTGAATAACTGCTGAATAATCCATTATTATTTAATGTGTCTTCACAAATAGGTCTTTTTCTCTTTTCTCTTCCTTGTAGGAAAGTACTACTTTCTTATTAACATTCAGCCTGATGTTTTTATGTGCAGTGTAAGCCAGTGTTGTATCTTCCATTGTCTGTCTTTTTCTTGTTGGATTTATGATTCTCTCTTTGGCTGTGCAGGTGAAATCGGTTTTAAGTGCTCTCTCTGGAGAAGAGTTGGACACACTGAAGGAGGAAATGGAACAACTCAAAGAAGCATTTTCTTTACCTGAATTCTTTGAAGAGGAGGAGGAAGAAAAGAAGGGTAAAAGAGCCCCAGGTTCTGGAAGAACAAGCTGGTTCTCAATGAAATTCTCAGGGTAGAACCAACCAGCCTTGATCACTAGGAATGGGCAGGTTGCCAAAGTTAAGTTACTCTTTAGCTGGATGCTTAATCCTAAAGCCAGCTGTGGCCAGCAACATGACAGGTAGCAATATCCTTCATCTCTGGAAAGTTGCTGTGAATTAATTCTGTCGCAGGAATGATTTCTTGCCAGAGGAGGATTAAAGTTGTTTAACTCCTGGGCAGTTCATACAACTGACCTTGAGCCAAGGTACAAATTCAAAGAGATGCTGGGTTTCCCTGACCATGAGGGAAAAAACTGAACAGAGATGTCCAACCTGTGGGAAAGCAGAAAGCCTTTTGATTTATTTGTTAAATGAGAGTTAGCCACACAGACCAAAAGACTCAAGGGTGCCTCCATGCACAAGAGCCATCTGATTCTTGAGGATTATGCAGATTTAAATGTAAATTTCTCACATTGCTTTTGTCTAAATGGCTCATCAGGGAGGGCTTACACACCTGCACTTGCTATCATTTAACGTTTAATGTATCTTTTATATTTGCACATGATGCATCTCACAGCCTTCCCCCCACTGTTAACATCTGCCCTGACATATATAATAGGAGAACCATAGGCTTTAAGTGATATTTCAGGCTCTCCAAGGTGATGTGCAAGTTACTGCATTATAAAATGCTGCCTGTAAAAAAATAAAAGTGTAATTACCTGAGTTACCAAACTGGAATTAAGAAGGCAGAAGTTAACCTGCTGGCACTGGTCTCTCCACTGTTTCAGAACTTACCTTATAAATTGTATTTAAAAAGACCAGCCTTAATACATCTTGCCTGAGGTGATGATTCAAAGAGAAATAAAGGAGATAGTTGATAGATTTGGCAGAACTAGTTCTGCATTGAAGTGCTGCTTATTCCTGTCTATGTCCTTTGTGTGGATTCTTTAACTTTTCCTGTTCTCTAGGAGATGAGGAGTTCACAAAAGAAGTAACAGAGTTGTTTTCAGAGTTGCGCATCTCCTCAAGCCCGGCCAAACTGATCACAGTGAGTTATTTCCTGTCTTCTAAAAGCTGGAGAGATTTCTTACAAGAACTGCTTCTCTTCATGTTTTGTTTGTGAAAATATCAAATGCATGAAAACAAGCCTTGTTTTAGATCCTTTGACAACGGTAAGCAAAAGAGATGGGCCATTTCCTTTGACCTTATGGGGCAAAATCATGTTCTGTAACGTTTTTTGTTCTGAATCAGTAGATATTAGTGTGTCTTTTCCCTTTCACTGTGCAGTTATAAGTGGTGGCAAAGATAACTGTGAGCACTAAGCCTTCAGCCACCACAGTGAAATCGACCTACAGTCGTGCACTGAAGCCCTCCTCTTGGTACAGAGCAGCTGGTTTTGCTATGTTCAGAACTTGGTATGAGGAAGCATCACTTTTCTTGCCTTCATTTTACTACCCTTCAGATCCACCAAGTGGCAGCAGTATGCTGCAGACAAGGTTTTTAAAGCACCTCTGTTAAGTTGTGGTCTTCCTGGTAAACTAACACCCAGTGCTGGAGAAATGACTGCCCTCAGCTACATCAGTGCAGCCAGCTGACCTGAAGCCACTAAGATCATTTGCTCTGGTTGTTTTCACTAGCTCAGGAGTTACGGCTGTTTTCTTCCTCCGTAGAGATTCAGTACTCCATGTTTTGTGGTGAGCAGAGGGGCTTCATTCCAGTCATTAAATACTATGGCACATCTTCATACAGGTGAGGACATCTGCTCATGAATGGATAGCACAATTCAACAGTAGTCTTCCTAAAGAAGAAAAAGAGAGTGAAGAGAACCAAGAAGTAGAATCCAGAGATGGTGACCACGATGCTAGAAAATCAGTAGAGGTAACTGAGTGATGAAGGAAGAGAATGTCTGACCATAGAGTGTTTACCTGGCTGCTGAGTTACAGCTGTGTTTCCCAGAGTCTTTGTGCAGATCCTGAGGTCTGAAAGTGCAGTGTAGCGACAGCACATTGTGTGATTCACTTGTCTTAAATAAGAAAAGCTGCTAGTTTATGTGTGGTCTGGGGAATCTTCTTAACTCTTGCAGGATATTCATGCGTTTGCCATAAGAAGTCTTGCTGAACTGACAGCATGCTCCATTGAAATGTTCCACAAAACTGCAGCTTTGTTTCTACATGGTCAGAAACAAGAGGTGACGGCCACGGACAGAGCCAAGTCCCTTTCACAGTAAGTTCATCTCTCACTAAATGTGTAGCTTATAATTACTGACATACTGATTAAACTGTCTAATGATGCTTTGCAAATCATGGGACGTAGAGCTTTTGAGTTCTGCATGTATGTTTAAAGTTGCAGTGAGTGGCATCACTGTCTTCCAGCAGTATTTAGCTGCCTCTTCTTCCAGCTTAAAGATATTTCTTGATAAGAAAGAGGAAACCGTACTTGAAATCTTTTATTTAGCCAAGTAGAATGTTTGCCCTCAGCTTGTGCTAGTTAGTGGGTAGACATATAAAATATGACAAAGCAGTTGTATAAAAGTGATTCTTAATTACCTCTTTGCTAATCTTTTAGTATGTTAGGTGTGCAATACTGTAAAAGTACTGCAGCTAGATTAGTACATTGGTCTTTCCAGTAACGCATAACATGAGGTTTTTCTTTTATGTCAGGAGATACTTGGCAAGCACATGAAATATGCAGTACTTTCAGAAAATAACACTTGTCAGTAAAAGAAAACAGGGAGTTAGTACCATTCCTTCTTGAATGGATGTGTTTGTCCTTTGAATGCTGTTTCAGACATTCAGCTTTAATTGTTTGTTTTTACGTCTTTCCCCTTCCTAATTTATTCAGGAGCTTTGTACATTGTATGCTCTATATCAGTTTTGGTTTAATTCAGCTGTATATGCATGGAAACAAGGTATATGTTAGAGGAATGCTACAAGTTATTCTTGTAGGCTGCATTTATTACATTGTTTTCCCACTCTTCTTCCACAGAATGACAATTGTGCTGTGTAAAGAACTGTCAACTTTCTCTAAAGAGTTTACTACATGCTTAACGACTGCAGAGGTAAGAGTTACACCATAGTTCTTAGGAATGAGATGTGCCTAGTTGATTACAGCCTTGAGATCTTCACCACAAAGTGCTTTTTGTGTTGGCACATTTATATGTGCAATTTTTTTGCCTTGTGAACTGATCTTTTAGGTCAGTGTTTCCCAGATTGTGGCATCTGAATCTATGCTGAGCTTTTGAATGCCTTCTGCTGCATTCAGACTGGTGTGGGGGTGAGTGCAGAGGGGGAATGGGAGCTGACAGTACTAAGGAGACAGAAGTAAATGAGGTTTGTGATCCTGGTGTGGCTTTTCCAAAACACTCAGGTGTTATTGAAGATAGTATCATTATCTCTCAATTCTCCAGCTGTCCACAGTACATTTAAAGACATAATGTGCATATTCATATATGGTTTGCGTTGGGCATATGTGGGTTGCTTTGTTCTTATTTGCATGCTACAAGGCAGGTCCTCTGCAGCTTGCAACTTAGCTTTCCTAGAGTCAGGGGAGCAGTGGTGATTAAGCCTACCGAGGATTTAGCTTTATCTTGCTTGAAGAAATGTGATCAAATTTCCAATCAGTATAATATATGTTTGATCTCTGCAGGTCAAAGAGAAAGCAGATGTGCTTAATCCCTTAATCACTGGAGTGTTTTTGGAGGTCAGTTATGCTAAAGTTAAAAAGTTAAGTAATACTTAAAAAAACAGATATGCTGTTTTTTCCACTTTGGTATCCTTATGTGTGCCAAGCCTCATGGTCCAAGATTCTGCTTCCTTATCACTTGAAAGTTCTAATAAATGTCTGTAGATTTGCACAAGAGATGAGTTACATAGTGAAAAGTGAGCCTGACAGTTATGATGAGTCAGAAAACACATACTACATCCAGCAGTCTGGTTTTCCACAACTGAGGTGTCCAAAGTAAAACCTTAGACAAGCTCAGAAATAAACATGCAAGAGTCCCACACTTCCTATCTGTTAAATAACTTGTTTTAAGCCATTTTTACTATTTCTAACCCATTTTTACCTCCTTCTAACCTGTTTGAAGCCATTGTTGGCTATTTCTAAACCCAGTCTTGGCCATTTCTAACCCAGTTTTGCCCATTTCTAGGCAGTTTTAAGCTGTTTCTGGCTATTTCTAAACAATTTCTGACCATTTCTAACCTAAATTTGCCCATTTCTAATTAGTTTTTACACATTTGTAAATATTTGCAATTCATTTTTTCTTCCTTCTAAGCTGTTTGAAGCCATGAATTGGCTATTTCTAAACTTTTTTGCCATTTCTATCCAATTTTGTCCTCTGTGTAAAACTTTCAAAGCCATTTTTGGCCATTTCCAACCCAGTTTTGACATTCTAAAACATTTTAAGCCATTTCTGGCAAATTTTAACCCATCTTTGCATACATCTATTCTTTGTTAACACTTCCTTGACTATTTGTAACCCTCTTTTGCCCATTTCTAACTTGTTTTAAGCCATTTTTACTATTTCTAACCCATTTTTACCTCCTTCTAACCTGTTTGAAGCCATTGTTGGCTATTTCTAAACCCAGTCTTGGCCATTTCTAACCCAGTTTTGCCCATTTTACACAGTTTTAAGTCGTTTCTTGCTATTTCTAACCAATTTCTGACTATTTCTAACTTAATTTTGCTCATTTCTAATTCGTTTTTAGATATTTTTCGATGTTTGTTAACCATTTTTTTTCTTCCTTCTAATCTGTTTGAAGCCATGAATTGGCTATTTCTAAACTTTTTTGCCATTTCTATCCAATTTTGTCCTCTGTGTAAAACTTTCAAAGCCATTTTTGGCCATTTCCAACCCAGTTTTGACATTCTAAAACATTTTAAGCCATTTCTGGCAAATTTTAACCCATCTTTGCATACATCTATTCTTTGTTAACACTTCCTTGACTATTTGTAACCCTCTTTTGCCCATTTCTAACTTGTTTTAAGCCATTTTTACTATTTCTAACCCATTTTTACCTCCTTCTAACCTGTTTGAAGCCATTGTTGGCTATTTCTAAACCCAGTCTTGGCCATTTCTAACCCAGTTTTGCCCATTTCTAGGAAGTTTTAAGCTGTTTCTGGCTATTTCTAAACAATTTCTGACCATTTCGAACCTAGATTTGCCCATTTCTAATTAGTTTTTACACATTTGTAAATATTTGCAACCCATTTTTTCTTCCTTCTAAGCTGTTTTAAGCCATGAATTGGCTATTTCTAAACTTTTTTGCCATTTCTATCCAATTTTGTCCTCTGTGTAAAACTTTCAAAGCCATTTTTGGCCATTTCCAACCCAGTTTTGACATTACTAAAACATTTTAAGCCATTTTTGGCAAATTTTAACCCTTTTTTGCATACCTCTGTTCTTTGTTAACACTTCCTTGACTATTTGTAACCCTGTTTTGCCCATTTCTAACTTGTTTTAAGCCATTTTTACTATTTCTAACCCATTTTTACCTCCTTCTAACCTGTTTGAAGCCATTGTTGGCTATTTCTAAACCCAGTCTTGGCCATTTCTAACCCAGTTTTGCCCATTTCTAGGCAGTTTTAAGCTGTTTCTGGCTATTTCTAAACAATTTCTGACCATTTCTAACCTAGATTTGCCCATTTCTAATTAGTTTTTACAAATTTGTAAATATTTGCAACCCATTTTTTCTTCCTTCTAAGCTGTTTTAAGCCATGAATTGGCTATTTCTAAACTTTTTTGCCATTTCTATCCAATTTTGTCCTCTGTGTAAAACTTTCAAAGCCATTTTTGGCCATTTCCAACCCAGTTTTGACATTACTAAAACATTTTAAGCCATTTTTGGCAAATTTTAACCCTTTTTTGCATACCTCTATTCTTTGTTAACACTTCCTTGACTATTTGTAACCCTGTTTTGCACATTTCTAACTTGTTTTAAGCCATTTTTACTATTTCTAACCCATTTTTACCTCCTTCTAACCTGTTTGAAGCCATTGTTGGCTATTTCTAAACCCAGTCTTTGCCATTTCTAACCCAATTTTGCCCATTTCTAGGAAGTTTTAAGCTGTTTCTGGCTATTTCTAAACAATTTCTGACCATTTCGAACCTAGATTTGCCCATTTCTAATTAGTTTTTACAAATTTGTAAATATTTGCAACCCATTTTTACTTGCCCCTAAGATGTTTGAAGCCATGAATTGGCTATTTCTAAACTTTTTTGCCATTTCTATCCAATTTTGTCCTCTGTGTAAAACTTTCAAAGCCATTTTTGGCCATTTCCAACCCAGTTTTGACATTACTAAAACATTTTAAGCCATTTTTGGCAATTTTTAACCCTTTTTTGCATACCTCTGTTCTTTGTTAACACTTCCTTGACTATTTGTAACCCTGTTTTGCCCATTTCTAACTTGTTTTAAGCCATTTTTACTATTTCTAACCCATTTTTACCTCCTTCTAACCTGTTTGAAGCCATTGTTGGCTATTTCTAAACCCAGTCTTGGCCATTTCTAACCCAGTTTTGCCCATTTCTAGGAGGCTTTAATGTGTTTCTGGCTATTTCTAACCAATTTCTGACCATTTCTAACCTAAATTTGCCCATTTCTGATTAGTTTTTACAAATTTGTAAATATTTGCAACCCATTTTTTCTTCCTTCTAAGCTGTTTGAAGCCATGAATTGGCTCTTTCTAAACTTTTTTGCCATTTCTATCCAATTTTGTCCTCTGTGTAAAACTTTCAAAGCCATTTTTGGCCATTTCCAACCCAGTTATGCGCAGTGCCTCCTGGTGGTCTTGGGCAGGGGTCTTCAGATGAAGTAAGTAGTCTTCCTCTTGTGGGTAGGGGTCTTCAAGATGAAGTAAACGAGTCTTCCTCAGGCTTGAACTTTTTACCTCTGGTCCTCACGCATGCTCTTTAGGAGCTGGATGGGTCTGGTCTATGTCTAACTGGTTTAATGAGCTATTCCCTTCATTAGGAAGCTTTATCTTAGTACTGCCTGATAAGGCATCTGCTGAGCTTGTCAAGCCAGCTATGACTTAAGCAGTACTCCTTGTACAACCCCCCCTATTCTCCTCATTAGGAGGCTCTGTCCTGGTACTGCCTGATAAGACATCTGGCGAGCTCGTTAAACCAGCTATGACTTAAGCAGTACCCCCCCTGTACATTTTGTCTAACCCCCTTGTACAACCCCCCTGTACATTTTGTCTAACCCCGTTGTACAACCCCCCTGTACACAATAGGCCACATCAGTTTCAATTCCCCCCTTTTCTATAACATAAGTAAATTCTTTTACTTAAGAGATACCCAGGTGCCTTCAATGGATTTGCGAAACATATTCGATACACATTGGATTAAGCATGGAATTGTCATTAAGACTAAAAGAACTACAGCCAGAATCCAAATCCCTTGTTTGATTAACTCCTTAATCCACCCTGTAATCCCAAACCCATTCAACCAATCATCCAACCCTCCATCAACTTGCAATTTCTTTAGCTGTTGTGCTGTCCAACATGCGAGGCGATGAATATCTGCCAATGCTTTTCCAGCTGCTACGTTTGGTAAAAGCAGTGCAGCAAAGAATCGCTTTGTATGGCCCCAAATCTTTAATGTGGGGTCACATTTAGGGCCTAATTGGTTAATAGATCTTTTATTCCTATGAAGGTCTTCTCGTAGGGTTTGGATTGTATGTTTTTTGGAAGCTGCAAACAAGGACAATTTTCCTAAATAGCATGGTCCCCCATGCGGCTTAGAGGGTATTCCTGGCCATGCACGGTCTCCGCATATCAAGAAGTAACCTGGGGGTAGTGCCTTAGGGGTGATAACATCATATGGGAGTGAAGGAGAAGACCCAAGACAATATGAGGTAACATTATGATACTAATCTTTCCTATTAGTCACTTTAGTTTCTGGAGTTTCATCTGACCAAGAATTGAATGTTATACA